TGGTATGAGGCAGCGCTACGTACACTCCACGAGCGCCGTGCTGGGCATAGCTGGGCAGCTTGAGAAGCACGTGGGCTCGGATGACCCGCTGAGGGAGTCCTTGGACGATGTGCTGCAGACGTTAGATAGACTTCGCTAGTTTTACAGCTTCGTAGACAACCAGATCATTTGTAACCGGCGAATCCATGTGCGCAGACATACGTGGCGAGAGATTGCCATCTAGCCAGCAAAGATTTGAGTGACTACCCGCTCAAATGATGCTGAGAGGATCTAACCACGAAGCCGCGAGGTTGATAGATGAGAATATCCATCAACTAAGGTACTCTGATGCGTCAATGAAATTAACAACGATTTTCTGTAAACCACCCTCACATATAAATATGGGCTGTACGACTTGCGTAATACCAAAACTCAGTTGAGCTAACTGTAACGGAATACTATACCAGGTTTGACTCATAAAGTTAACAAGGAACAAATAAAGAAAGAACCAGCGTCTCTCTCCCTCTATCTCACTTATTGCACGAAGTGACTTGCAACTCATGAAGTTCGTTCTGGGGCACTGCAGTTGAGTGTCAGAGTAATCGAGGCAGGGAACGAAAAACACGCTCAAATGTCGTTATCCCCAAGTAAGGTGATTTAGTAGGTTCATTATTTTTCAAATTATCGCCTTGAAATGAACAGTCATAATCTACAGCCTAGGCGAAGGTCTCGCGAGGAACAAAAGGGTTGCAGAGTTCATAGTCTTCCCGGCTCGGAAGAAAACTTCACATTGATGGCTACAGGCCAATATCGAAATCTCCATCGATACAAGAAATGAAACCCCCTCACGTCAACTCAGACCGCAGCCATCGGGGCTTGTGTCTCATGCCGAACAGCTTCCGCGCCCTCATCGACATCGTTCCTCTTCAACGCCGCAGCCGCCGCAGCCTCAGCCTTGGCTCGCCTCTTCCTTGCCCGGCGGACCTCGATCTCGATATCCTTCATCTCGGCGTCCACCGAGACTAACCGGGGGATGATGTCCTGCACGGCCTGCACCGAGAGCGATTGTGCCTGCCTCAAAGGCATCGGCGCCAGGATCCCGAACCACCGGAGGGGATCATTACTCTTCTTCTTCTTCTTCTTCTGCTTCGTCTTTTCCTTCTCGTTCTCCGCCTCATCCTTCTTCTCGGCCTCTTTCTCCGTCTGCTCCTCATCAACGGAGGTTACCCCTTCCGGCTCCACGCTCGGGGCCTCATTGACATCATCATTCTTCGCCGCCGCCGCCGCTGCAGCCTCCGTGGTCTCCGTCTTCGGCTCCGTCACAGCATCAGCCCCCTCCACAACCTTGATAACCTCAAAGCGGGGGATACCCCTGTCATCCACGGCCACCTCGAGGGTCCTCGAAGCCCGCATGCGCTCGTCGTAGTAATCCGGCCCGTAACGGACGCCCCTCTCCGCGGAGAAGTTGGCTCGTGCAATGTTCTGATACATGCCCGCCTGAGTCCCGCTGAGGCGCTCGCGCAAGGCCGTGTACTCGTCCAGCAGGATGAGATAGCGCTCCAGGAGGCTATCGATGTGGTTCGTCTCCATTGTCTTGTCTGCCTTGGCGTGTTAGGTTGTGAGTTGCGAGGCGTGTGGGATATGAGAATGTGGCGGCCGGGGTTCAAGGTGAGCAAAGCGCTATGGGAGAGGTTGAAAGATGCAAGGGGTCGGGCTGCTGTGGCTGAGGCATGCGGCTGAAGGGGACTCAGAAGCATGTACGGGTAGGTAAAGACCTGTCGTGTTGTGTCGCCGAGGTTGCCTATGCAGCTGACTCTGAGCGATGAAGATGAGATGGTCCCGTAGGGCTATGCATGAGGGTGATTGTTGGCTGTAGCCTCACATGCGTTGGAGATTTGTGGCTTGAGTGATGATCTGCGCAGAAGGAACGGCACTATCATGCAGGGGTAGCCCTGAGCTACCTTACTGTGTAGGTACCTTAGATAGGGACTGCAATACCCGAGTCTGCGGCAATCGGTACCTATACTTTACTCCATTCATCCTTGGCGCCTTTTCATCGCTCAAACAATACTCTAATGTAAGTATTGTCAAGTCACTCTACTTTGGGCTTGTCCGCCTTGAGCCGCCAGCCCAGCGACTTTTAATCAAAATAACTCCCCGTGTAAGTTCTTGACATGCGACGATCCCGCGGTCAAGACATTCCAACGGGTAATGCCACCTGCCAAGACAAAGCTTCCCAAAAAAAGACAAGAGAGAAAACGGCTGAGCAAACAAGCGTGCGAGGAAACCTGATGCGACAGCAACGGTGACGTGAGAACACACGTACAAAGGGACTGAGGCGATGTCGAGGCTCGGCGGCAAACAAAGCGAGAACAAAGACGGATGGATGGAGAGCATGGGTTCAGTAATACGGATACATCTCTCCTTTGGTCCTTTGGGGTCCTGTCATGCCCTGCCAATGTACTTTTATTGTCGGATGGCCGTCGGGTTGGTGGTTGTTTGTAATGCGTTCGTACCAATGCGACCTTTCTGGCATAGCTTCCTGTTTCAGCTTTCGACATTGATGGATACGATTTGCTGTCGAATGCTCCCGTGCGCCCAGCAGGGAAGGATGCCGTCTGAAAGGGAGACATGATGGACAGAAATGAAGATAACTGATGGCCACGCAGACCGACGCCGCCATGGGGTCCAACTGCCTGTTGGGGACCTATTTGGATTCCCCGTTGTCAGCGCCAATCTGTCGAGCACGAGCCGGGGATAGTCCTTTTATGTCGGTGATCCCGGTGATCTATCTCGCAGGACCCTGAGCGATGAACGTAGGTGGGACTGAGGAGGATGGTCGGAAAATAGGCCCTCAGAGCTTGGCCTTCTGAACGCAGCTCGGAATAATGATGAGATTCGGCCGAAGACCATGAGGAATAATCGAGAACAGTATTCGTACAACGCAATGCAAAACGGGAAGCAAACCGGGCCATCGCGCCAAGCGTGAGCGACGGATGGATCGAAGCATTAAAGAAGGCTGCGGATTCCCGTCTAGCTTATACCCTGTACATGAGAGACTGCCTCAAACGCGTGTCGTCCATATGACTTGGAAGGCATCGTCCAACCCCAGGGCTACTTCGCGGGCCTGACGGTGTTTCGATGCCCACTTTGACAGCGCGAAGCGAGGATACCTTAGCATCCGGGACGGCAAACTGCAGAAGAATGACTTGCTAGGGGTTGGAATCGAATTGGCACGGCACGCCGGGAGCGAGCGACGAAATGGCGGCGTGTCAGTGTCAAACGTCGAGGTTCAAGACCTTGTGGTCGAGCCGAAGACAAAGAAGGGATTGCCGGCTTGATTTCTAGGTTAACGAGCCACACATATGGTCAGTCCGCGCTTCCAAGTACTATCCGGCCTAGGTATTTTTTCCTTTTTTCGCGATGTGGCAATGACAGCTGACGCACGACAGCGTAATTATCACGCCTGTCTTACTTGAAGGGCATTCACGACCATGCTTCGATGTGAACCGTAAGACGAAGTCGAGTAGTCGATACCCAAATGCATGTTATTCTGGGTCCGCGTTGCTTTCGATGGAGGTGCGGATCCGCCCGAGAAGACCATCTCAGAACCAGGTCGATCATTAATTAGTGTCGGTCTGAGACGGTGGGGCCCAGTAGCTTAGATCCCGCAGTGCATTGCAGCATTAACGAAGAGCAGCAATGTGTGGTCTGGATCCGGTGCCCCTTCCCATCTCGATAAACGGCCGCTGCAGGCCGCGAGTGGCGGGAGTTCGCCGACGTTTGTGGTTGAACTTACGATTTCCATGCTGATATGAGGAGGCGTCAATATGGATTGGTCCTAGGGAGGGGAGAGAGGCATGGGATGGTTACGTGAAGAAAAATAGATCAGGCAAACTTTGGTGAAAACTCTGCTGGACAAACCTGGGCTGAGCTGAGTTGTTGATGACATGAGGGCATTCCTTTCTTTTTCATGCGTTGAGGAAACCTACCTCATCTACGGAGTAAATGTCAAGGTGCCGGGCTATTATCGTCTGATATTGTTCTGGTGAAAAGGCGTCTCTGCAAAGTGGCAAGAGCATACAGCACTGGTGGGAATGGGCACATTCCACCTCGCTCCGCTGCGAAAGGGTTGTTAGTTGGACGAGAATGATCCCTCTATGGTAGGTGCGAGAGAGACAATTGAACCATTGGCAGACGGCACTTGGCGAGATGTGCGTTGGGAAGCGTCCCTACCATGAAAGGCCAATGCAATATGCGGGTTCGCTGGCGTGATGCCGGGACCGTGATGCACACACAGTGCCTACCTTAAGTTACCTATGCTCGTGCTTTGCTGGTGGAGGAGTACTCTAAATCTGTGCTACTTGGGACTTGCTGCAGAAGCTTGGACGATGGACCGAGTAGGGTTTAGCAATGATGTCTCCTGCCCGCCATAGACGTTCATCCAAGACGAATCGAGCGTACTTAGGCGGATTAAAAGTGTACCTTAAGGTGCCTTATTACACCTTTGGTAGAGACGCAGGCAGGTGGTTGCCTACCTCTGCACTTGCATCTTCCTCGTCGAAGCTTACCAGGTACCTAGTTACGTATACTTCAACAGAGGTAAAAGCACATGCATTTTGCAACATGAGAATGGTGGGGAACGGAATTCTAACGCCTCAGGCCCAAGTCCCTCTACACAATGTGCAAAGAAGTGACGAGGGTTTCTCAATGTACGGATACCTCACCTGGGCGACTGTCAAAACTCGACACTTCGGGTACGCTACATAGTAGACGCAACACCACTTGGCACCACAAGCACAAACAGCTTGCGGCTTTGGTCCCTTGGTTACCAGAAGCAGTCGCAAGTTGCAACGCCATTGCTGCTGGAGTCGAAGCCGGCCCAAAGATCTTCTCAGCTCGACCCAAGCCAGCGGATGCCGCTCTTTCAAAGACGGGGGGACGATCCACTCTTTACGGGTTAAAAAAGTGGTCAGTGAGGGCGGTGAAGGATCAAGACGAAGACGAGGAGCAAGCTACGAATGCCCCGCGCCCTCAACCCCGAGCCAGACGGAACCATCAAGCCGAGGGTCCCAAGACTTTTGTCCAACTCATCACCATCGTGGCCACGCGCCTACCTTATCACCTTACCTAGGTCCGCTTGGGTAGATTTGCTGGCACTTGCTGGAGAGCGTTGGGCCAGGTTCTTGGTGCGGATGGGGTGGGCAGAACTACGCTGTACGCTGTATCGGGCAACATCGGCAATGGCACCAACAAACGCACCTCTCGGTATCCAAGACAAGCGCATGAGGGGTTGGCTTGGTGCCTCCTTCACCTTAATACGAAATACCTATCCGTAATGGGCAAATGGGTGGCTGCTTGCCCTCCCGTCCGTATACCTACCGCATCTCATTCCCTTCTGATATTAGCGGAAAGCACAGGAGGGAGGACTCGCCCTTGAGACTGAGATGAGCAGACCGGGGCATGGCACCGACGCTGGCTACGTAACCCCTGGAAGTTGAGGTGAGCGTCGAACAAATTAAAGGGAATGGAAGCCGGCGAGAAGGAAGATTGGTGAAGAAGGCCCCGCTCACCCCCGACCAGGCTATTTGTTCCAGAATCCAGCAGCGGCGTCAACCCACGTCTGCGGCCTGCACTGGGTTATTCGATACCTTGGTGCCTATTCGTACTCCGTACATACCTTACTGCTTTCCACACAATCCAAGGACCAAGGGAACATGGCTGGACGTTCTTGACCTTCCGGGTTAGGCCATGTCCTCCAGCTAGCACTGCACCAGGCTATCTCAAGCACCCCAACGCCAACCGATCAGGCGCTATCCATTCCTCTGGAACACTGACCAGTACCACCCCTTCCAACCCCAATTATTGCAAAGACCAGCCTTGCAAACACCAAATTAACATGTTGACTTTGATGCGGGAGCAAAGAAGAGCAGAGGCGGCGGCGGTTATGGACTTGTGGTGGTAAACAGATCAGAGACCTGGAGGGACCCTCCTGACACGACACGGGCACTCTCCAATTTCTACCCGCCCCCAGCCTGGCTCACCCTGACGCCTAGGCTCAGGGCACGAGGTACGAGACACTTGGTCCAGCAACAAGTCACTTTGATGAGGAAAAGATGAGACGAGAGGCTTTGGAATTGCTTGCTTTTCGACTGCCCATTGACTGGAGACGAGGGGTCCCCCTTTCCATCTCTCTCCTTTTCATGACCCTGTCACTCATTGGGGGCTTGCTGCCCTCGTGAGGTCTTCCGAATTGCTTTGGACAGTAATTATTTGTGAGGATACTTCTCTGCGAGGTTTTGTAAAGTACCTTGGAGTCTACCTCTCTGCTGAGAACCAGAACCTGGGTAAACAGGAAGGGACGGTTCCTGTATATGCTGCAGGTACATCCTTTTGTACTTGCCCTGTGCTTATTAGCCGTACTTCTTGCCCAGGTTCTTGCTGTCAACTGCCATAGATGATGGACGTCTTTGTTCGTCCTTCCATTCAGTAGGCCTGGAGACGGGACTCGGGAATAAGTACTTATGGGCATGGTTGTCGCCGGGTAGATAGTTGGCCGAAACAACCCAGGGCAGATGTTCAGTTTCCTTGCATTCGAATCGAAGATGACAACATGAGAGGTATACATAATAGTGATTGAGAGTCTTCATTCTGAGAGTGTCGAGACGTACAATATCTCAGCATACAACACATGCCTTACCACGCGCGCCTCATACAACTCTTTCGGTCTCGTCTGTCTCTGCACCTTGCCTTACTTACGTGTGGTATGTGCAACGTTCTCTTCCTCTAGCCTCCCATTACCTTGCCTTGCCTTGCCTTGACACTGACACCAACTGACACTCGTCAATTCCACCCGTCTGTTGACTCAACTTACCTTTAGGTACCTGCCTTACGCCTTCATCTTTTCTTGTTCTCCCCTCGCTCTCCTCTCACCCAGATGCTGACCTCATTCGACGAAAAGAAGAAAGAAAATTCAGCGAGTTTATAAAACTCAAAACCCCTAACGCAAGGTCGAGTTTGCTGCTACCTTACCCGACCCCGTCCTCCCCCTTCTATTCCCAGATTCAGTCTGGCAGTCTGCTGAGGTGTCCCACTTTCCCGCGTGTGTTCTGCCGCTGATGCACCGCTGCAGCGTGTGTCGAGACCACCGCCGACGCCATCGCTACCTTGCTAAAATAAAATAAATAAAAAATCCCCGACGACATCTCACTTGTGACCTCCCAGACTATACGGAGTACTGCGTACACAATACCTTACTGCGTAGACGTCCTTGTGCTTTGGTTGGGTCCCGTCACCTTGTCACCTCCTTCTCTCACTCGCTCCTTCCCTACCTTGCCTTGGCTCCGTTATCCTTCGCCTTACTCTTTCCATTTACCTTGCTGGCGTCCCTCGCCGTCACCTTGTCACCTTGTCACCTTGTCCCTTGCCTTGCTCTCTTACTTCACCTTCTTCTTACCACCACTACCACCTGCACCCAAAAGAGAGAGAGAAGAAAAAAAGACCACCACACCGGCACCCGACCCAATCCACGTCTTTTCTTCCCCTTCGTCGTCGCCGCCCCCCCATTTCGACCTCGACCCCGTTCTCCGTCTCCACTACCCACCTCATCTTTCCGCCCTGCAGCAACGGCAACCACCACCGCCACTGCTCCTAGTCTCTTCCATACCTTGCTGCTACTCCGTACCAATACTACTACCACTACCACTGCCACTACCACCACACTTTACCTACCACCCGCTTCGACTCCTCTTGCCCGCTGCCACTCTAACCCCCAACTACCTGCGCCTGGAAATCACACCCGACTCCGACCCCGACCTCGACAAGACAATACACTCGACACGACACGACGCGCCGCGCGATAAGGGAGAGACTGAGAGACCGGTCTTAATTTTTCTTTCCACAGGTCTCTGTTCCTGCACAGGAACATCATTGATCTAGACAATGGTCGTCGCTACTATCAAGTGCGTACATTTTGAGCCTCTTTTCGCTAGGCTTCATTTTCTCACTTTCCCCCCCTTCCCGACACCTGACACCTGACGGCTTGTCGTCGCCCTTTCCACTATTTCGCCTGCCTGCTGCTTCTGCCCTGTCTGCATCCTCGCTGTTGCTGTCGGATTCCACTGCTCCCTGTCGCTGGGAAGGCTTCCCTTCACCGTTGCCAATCCTGACTTGAACTTGACGATCGGCAAATGGGCAGCCATCAAAGCGCGCATGTCACTAGCCACTTCTGTTTGCAACAAAAACTAATTCCCTCTCTCCTCCTCTAGGTGTGTTGTCGTCGGTGACGGTGCGGTCGGAAAGACATGCCTTCTCATCAGCTACACGACGAACAAGTTCCCCTCCGAATACGTTCCGACCGTCTTCGATAACTATGCCGTCACTGTTATGTGAGTCCTCCCCTGCAACACCTCCAAAACAATCCAAGATCGGGTTCCACAAAGCATAGACAAAAGGGTCTTTCCAAGAGATGGTCAAAGGGCGGAGGAGCCGACGAGTGGATGAATCAAAAACAATGGGGATTCGAGAGAGAAAAGAAGCCGCAAGAGACGAGAAGTTGCTGGACTGTTGGTAGGCCATTTCGCTAATGGTGGATTTTTCTCTTACGCAGGATCGGTGACGAGCCTTACACACTGGGACTGTTCGATACCGCCGGTCAGGAAGATTACGACAGACTCCGCCCCCTTTCCTATCCCCAGACCGACGTCTTCCTCGTCTGCTTCAGCGTCACATCACCTGCCTCCTTCGAGAACGTCCGCGAGAAGTGGTTCCCCGAGGTACATCACCACTGCCCCGGCGTCCCTTGCCTTATCGTCGGCACCCAGGTCGATCTGCGCGAGGACCCCAGCGTCCGCGAGAAGCTTTCTAAGCAGAAGATGTCTCCGGTACGGAAAGAGGACGGCGAGCGGATGGCAAAGGATTTGGGTGCGGTCAAGTACGTCGAGTGCAGTGCTCTGACGCAGTACAAGTTGAAGGACGTCTTTGACGAGGTATGCATTCTCCCGTTGGATCTGTTGTTTTGCTCTTTTCCCTCCTACACCTGCCTATATCGCAGCTCTAGATCTGTTACTAACATGCTACCTCCCCAGGCAATTGTTGCGGCTCTGGAGCCTCCTGCCCCGAAGAAGAAGTCACACAAGTGTCTTGTGCTTTGATCGTGGGACCCTTTGACGCATGGGTCTTGCTTTCCTCCCGCCATGCCCACCCAGTTCTGGCTCTGGCGGCGAGCGGAAAAGCCGAGAACCAGGCTTGGACATTTTCTCTTGCCATCCAGATGCGCGCGCAAACGGTTCTGGGTTTCCATCTTTGAACGGCATTTTGGACCTTTTTTTGCAGCGCGCATGGCATTGGACACGCTTAGGTCTTGATCAGTCACAGCTTTGGACCGATCAAGAACGGTCGTTCCTCGCGAATTAATGGATTGCACTTCCTGGTTCAGCGACAACGAAGGTTTGGATTGGATCATCTGGCCGCGGCGGTCCGGGCTTCTAGGCATATCTTGGTTGGGGACTGCGAGGAGGACGAATGAGCAAGTCGACGGGCTGTGTTTCCCCCCTTCCATATTCTGTTCACCAATTCCCAAAGTTCTCCCTCATACCATGCCCTCTTACCAAATCCAGCCCCTCATCCCTCTCGCATCCCCCAATACGCCTTGCTCTGGCCCGGATCTTGGTGGTCTTTCTTGCTTCTTTCTACATTTAGGGATGGGTAAATTCATCACGCAGGCAGGAATACTTCGATAGGACAGTTTGGCGATTGGAGTGCACTTTAAATCGATGGTCTTTTTTTTCTTCGCGCTGAACCCCCAAAGTGTCTGTACGCGCGCAACTTTCCATCTACAGCCACAACCCGCGCGGAGCGAGCACCGATCAGCTGGAGGGCATGGCCTCGTGGGGATCATCACCCACTGACTGCTGATGTTTAACATGCGTGGGCGGATCAGAGCCTCCAACATCGGATCGACGAGGCGAGTCATTCCCGCTTGCTGCCCGCCTCGGTACACGCCATCCGTTCACTCACATCTTTTCTCTTTCTGCACGTTGTGGGGGCACGAAAAGAAGGGATATGGCAAGCAAGGCACGCACGTTGGAAGCGCGCAACTAATGGACGGTGGGCAGTAGCTTTTTTGGACCAAAAGCATGCTCAACTATGATGCTGGCGAGCTACCCGACGTTCGTTCCGTCTGCCCAGGACTCTCAACTGGGATGCCTAACGTTGCCAATCTTATCGTTGGAATGTTCTTTATTGTCCAGCTGCGCCCTCTTGAAACTCTACTTGACCTTTTTTTTTTTTCTTTTTTTTTTTTTTTTTTGGCGGCGCGCGATGATTAGCGCAAAGGCCACCAACAACCCCTCACTCTCACTGGCCGCGCTTTCCTATCTGTCTGCCTGAGCGCATGCCCGCCCAACTTCTTGGGCAAAAGTCCAGCAGTCTTTGAAGGGGTCTGAGGTTAAAGAGGGCGGATTTCTGGGGGGTGGACTAGTACAGTTGCTGGTGGTAGGGGAGGGGGAGGGGGGGGGGGAGGGAATCGCATAAAAGAATGACGTCGCAGCCTCGGCGTGCCGTCGTCCATCCGAAGGAATCGGTCATCAATGCGAGACAGATGCGGTTAAGGAAAACTTGACAGTGTGCCGTTTGTGTCTTTTCCCTTCCCCCCAACGGGATTTACGGCGTTCGCGTGGTTCAAAACGCTTACGCCTCAGGGACTCCCGGGCCTGTGCTCTCTCTCACTCTGCGTGTGTATTTACAAT